ATAGCTGCCCACAGAATATGTCCATTATCCAGGTCAAATGCTGCAATTAAGGAAGTTCCTATTAATGGGCACCTCAAGTAATATTACTGTTGCAAAACTGAATTGTCTGAAAAGCCTTATTCAATTTGCTGTGGAAGGCTTTACTCAGAACAGTTCTAAAGTGAAATGGAAATAGTTTATTCTGGATCTTATTACATGGGGAATGCAAGGATATTCCCATGAAGGAGGGGGCCTCTTTTCCCCTAGGGATAAACTAGAACTGTGAGAGACACTGCCAGGTTCTACAGTCACTTGAATGGTACCCTATAAACACCACTTGACTAACCAAAAGGAGCTGCTTGATTTATGGATGATAATTCCAAGGTGAACGGACAACATCCTGTTTGGAAGGCCATCACTCCAAACAAATCAGCTTAGTGGGCTGACTTGCATACTGTTTTTTCAGCAGTGATGAGAGAGTTGACAATGGTAAAAGTTCCTGTGTCTAGGTTTTTACCCACTCATGGGCAGGAGCCAATGACCTGGTCATACGGTCAGGTAGATGGGCAATGGAAAATTGGACTATTAAAGGGAGGCCTATGTGGGGTAGTCCCATATGCCTATTTCAACTGACCCAAATAAAGTCTTCCTTACTGTTTAAAAAGTATCACGAATAATTTTTAATAAGATTACATTCATCACAAAAAATGATGTTAAAATATTGGCTGGTCAAATCGTACTACTTTTAGAATCCAGGTCACGGAAACTTACTCTCTGCCATCAAAGTATCAGAATTGCTTTTATGATTTATAAATTCTACAACCAATAAGATATGATGTCCACTTGAGCATGACTAGCAATTTGGGATTAGCAGCCTCACAATTTCTTCAAGAAAACTGAAACTAGCTTCCACTTTCTGACAAGGCTTTTAATTCACACACAATTTACAAAAGTGAGGGGAAATTTAGGGGCAGAGGGAGTAAAGCATAACAAACACACACAGGCATGCAGTGTGGAACTGTTAACTTCCTTTGTGAAGAGCCAAAGGAGGTAGGCAAGGCCCCTAAATATTCCTAAGGCTTTAATTATAAGTATTGGAAGTCAGACCACTAGTCAGGCATGATGGTGCTCATCTGTAATCCCAGTGGCCTGGGAGACTGAGGCAGGAAGATCAAAAGTTGGAAGCTAGCCTCAGCAAATTAGTGAGATCCTGTCTCAAAATAAAAAGGTCTGTGGATGTAGCTCAGTAGTAGTGCCCCTGGGTTCAATCTCCAGTTAAAAAATAAAGGAGAAAGAAAGTTACACAATGATGTTTTAAATTCCCCATATTTCATTCTTCCACTATTCTTTGAAAAGAGAATCATACTCTGTTCTTTCCACTGTCCTAGCTCCACATATTTCCAGGCTATAGAAGAAAGTGCTGTTTTTTGGGGTTTTTTTGCACTGTGGATTGAACCCAGAAGCCCTTAACCACTGAGCCGCATCCCCAGCTCTTTTTTATATTTTATTTAGAGACAGGGTCTCGCTGAGATGCTTAGGGCCTTACTAAGTTGCTGAGGCTGGCTTTGAACTCACGATCCTCCTGCCTCAGCCTCCTGAGCCATTGGGATTATAGACATGCACCACAGAGCCCGGCAAAAGTGCTTTTTTTTTTTTTTTAAATTTGGGGTTCCAGGAAAGAGCCTTCTCCGCCTGGATGAATTCTCTACTTAAAATTTCTAGCTTATTACCACTGCAAAGTGACTATGATATACACACTCTCTAAATAACAGATTGAATCTGTTTAAATAGGCTGTAGACCAGAATTTCAAATCAGTTTAGAGTGACATTTTCATCACTGAAAACCATCTACTCTGATACACTTTGGGTTTTCATGGTAATTGTTCAGTACTTGAAATGTTTTTTTTTTTTAATTTTATGGCATAGATTTATCAGTGAATAAGAAATGAAGTATAAAATGTTCTTTAATCCCCTTACACAGAGTCAGGAAGAGTGAAAGAAGGGACCAGAGCACAAATCAACATAATGATTCTTTCATCTCATGTATTTAAATGGAATGTCTTTCTCTAATGGGAGAGAGATTGTCAATGTTAAAATTTGCTTTTACACATAGCTTTCATTTCATATTTTGCAAGTATTTAGCACAACACCTTTATAACCGAGCCAAAAAATGAGTTCATAATTTAAATATAAATATTGATAACAGGTAAAGAAAGGCTAAATGCAGTGCACAATACAATTAATGTGGTGGTTAAGTACTTGGACAAAAACTGATCCAAGCCCAATTCTTGGTGCCACCGCATTGCTTATTTGCTATATGATCTTAAACAGATTACTTAACTTTCCTGAGACTCAGTTTCCTCATTAACAAAACATGGATTACAGCACTATTTAATTGTAAGAGGATTAAATGTAGGGGAAAACCCCCATATGTACATGCATTTTTTTAGCACAATTCCTGATATCAAGTGATTTTAGTTAATCATTGTATCTGCACCCCACCCCTGCCTTTACTGTATGCACATAGGGGAAAAAATATAGTTCTAAGAGCTGAACGTGATGGTGCATACTTAAATTCTCAGGTACTCGGGAAGCTGAGATGGGGGGATCACAAGTTCGAGACTAGCCTGGGCAACTTAGCAAGATCCCATCTCACACATACACACACAAAAAAATCTAGTTCTATTATTTCAGGATTCAGTCTCATTCTCAGCAAAAGACCAGACCAAATTACCAAAAACTACTCAGAGAATAAAAACATGCCCATAAATACTCATTCTTCTTCATTTACAACTAAAATAAATTGGTAGTATTAATCAACTAAAACTTCAACAGATTCCTTAAAACAAATGGGACAAGCAAATCAGAGTAGAAAGATGGAGGCTCAGTTCAGATAAGCAAGTGAAAAATAAACTGCTATTTAACAAAGGAAGTATCATAATGGCAAATTTTCTTAAAAAAAAAAAAAAAAAGCACAGTACACAGGATAAAAGAACATTTATTAGTATTTTTCCACTCCTTGGTGGTGAGGACATCACATCACATCACCCAAGGCTTCACATATGCTAGCCAAGCACTCTTATCACTGAGTTATACTCCCAGCCCATTTATTAGGCTCTTTAGTTGCAGATGGACACAATACCTTTACTTTAATTAATTTTATGTGGTGCTGAGGCTCGAACCCAATGCCTCACACACACTGAGCTACAACCCCAGCCCTGTCAGGCTCTTAATCCTGGAACAAAAGCCTTTTGACTCTATGTATGCTGCTAGGGATCAAATCCAGAGCCTTGAACATACCAGGCAAGTGCTCTACCCTTAGCAAGACCCCAGATCAAACAAATGTCTTGACTATGTAATTTTTTAAAAGCTGTAGTTTAAATTAAGTAATATGTTGGACCTCCACAACTTAAGATAAGCATAATTTACAGAAGATTACATTAAACTAATAATAACTACAGTAATATCAGCTTCTCTTCCATTTAGTGCCACTTTATACTCCGAGCGCTTTGTACAGGTTTTCTTATTTAACCTTCACAATAAATCAGTGGGACAGGGTGGGGACTGTTATCCTCATAAAAATAAGGGTACTGACACTTAGGAAAATTAACTAACTTGCCCATCATTATAGTTACTAAAGGATAGGGCAGAATTTGAACCCAGGATTGTTATGACTTCTAAAACCAATATAGGTTGGGCATTCCTAATTCAAAAATCTAAAAATTGAAATACTCCAAAATTTGAATACTACATGATGTGACTCTTCAACTCTACCTTCTTCAGGGAAAAATGTTAGGAAGAGGAATTTACTTAAAGTTAAAATTTTCAGTTCCTAGTAGGTGATTTAGAAGTAATGATGAGCACTAAAAAAGTGAGAGCAAGAAGAAAGAAAATAAATTTAGACTGGCTATCAGAGAAGAACTTCCTGTCAACAAAAACTGAGACACTAGAACATATTATCAAAGAACATTACGTAGGATAAACTGGAAGAAAACACAACCTCATGAAGGGTTGTCAACACACAAATAGTGTCAACATACACACAAGATGGGAAAGTACAAATATAGCTAACTTGGCTCAGCCTCACTTATAATTTAAAATAGAAAAATAAAAAAAGAAAAGTGATAAAATAAGCCTGACAGCAGCAGTCAGGAGATTGCACTAGAATTCTGCCAGCCTAAATACAAGTTAGCAAAATGCTAACCCAAATATTTATGCCACATTTTTCAAAGGATCCATCAAGGTACAGGTACTATTTTATAATTTTCTTCAATTCACTACCCCTTAAGACATGACATCTCTATTTCTTCTGTAAATTCATATTCAGATGGGAACTGGTATCCTTGTCTAAGCTCAACATTAGTAAATGTTAATGTACTGGAAAAATAAAACCCAGTTTGTTAGTTTTCAAGTGTGTAGGGAAATTTATGAATAAAAGATATCACAATGATAACAAACACACACACACCCTCTGGCAGAACTATTAGTTAAACTGGGAAAGTCTTGTCTGTTTCATGCCTGTACAACTTCTCTTCTCTCAAGTGAAATGTTCCCACAGGCAAAGTTCCAAAGTTGACTGCTTCAAGACACTTCAGAGTCATCAATTTCATTTATTCCTTTCCAATGTCAGCTGAATTTTCATCTGAACCTTTACTGATTTGTAAAAAATGGGAAGTCTATATATCCCTCCTCATAGTAACTGGTTTTCTTCACTTTCATGAAAAGAATGAATGTTTCTTTAATGAGGATTATATATTATCAGGAAAAAAGGGCTATTTCCATTAAAAATTAAATATGTCCAAACTGGTCTAGGTAATATTATTGTACTCTTTCCTGTTTTTCTCTATAGCACTGCCAACTCAAAGAGAAACAACATGTAGTTATTGGTTCCATCCATACCAGTTCCTTTTACACAAAACAGAAAAAACTCCTGACCATTAATTACATGGTTCTAGCAATATAGCTAAAGGAAATCCAGTATTTGAGGATGTAAATACTTGTTTTGGGAAAATAACACCTACCTTGTGAGTAGAGAAGGATCTGCATTTCTAAAAGAACACAGGTAAATACCTGCACCAGGTTCTCTAATCCCAGGAGCTCAAAAGCCTCATGAAGAGGGTAGTCAGAGAGGGGGAGTTCATTGGTCCCAGGCCTCTGGCAGATGACAGGTTCATAAACACCATAAAATTTCAGTGATCTCCCTGGAGGTGGAAGAGGTACTTCATAAAGAATATTATGGATGTAGCTCTCAAGCGGCAAGGGTGGTGGCTGCTGTGAGGTAACTGCCCTGTAAAGTTGGATGAGGAATTTCTTGCAGGCCTGCATAAAAGGTAGTGGTGTGATCAAGCATATACTTTTTGAAACATACAGGGTATCTCTGTTGATATCATAGGAGTTGTATCGCTGGAGTTTCAAAAGGGAAGTTGTATCGCCCTCATCAATGCTGCTTGCCAGTGAGTCCATGCTGCATGAGGATGAAGCATAAACACTGCTGTATTGCTCAGCGTTGTGCATCTGGTAGAGTGTCTGCATTGCTGTGCAGATTTGCTTACTTGTAACTTCTTCATAAAAAGTGAGAACAAAACCGTAGGTGCGAGAACCATCTTCCCGGGTAATTATAAATGAGTGAAACTGAGGGTCTTTACTTTCAGTTTGGGTTCTGAATGATAGCCCTTTAGGCATGCATAACTGTAGAGGAAATGGGGAGAAAGCATCAGAATACAGCATACAAACAACTTCAAACCTGAAAAAAAGATGTTTGGCTTTTTTTTTTTTAACATTACAGAATTCAAAAGGACAGGTTTTTAATCTAGCTTTAACTTTAGCAATAGCCTTATATTAGAAATACATTGTAAGCTCACTTACATGTAGATAAAGGTATTTTTAAAAGGAATATATACATGCATATATCAGAAAAATAATCACTGTGTGGGTACTACAAGGAGGGGGTTTTATTAAGATTGAGAAGATCTTTTGGTCCCAGAAACCTCTAACCAAGCTTGTAACCTTGAACAAGTCATGTAACTTCTCTGAACCTCAGTTACTTTTACAGTTGCTACATCAATAAACTGAAGATGGAGTATATAAAACACTTTACAAATATTTAAGTACCATTTTTGTGGCAATATGATGCTTCAAAGGAAAAGGGAAAAAAGTGAAGGCTCATTTGATAATGGGAAAAAAAGTTTAAAAAAACAACAGTACCATCTTTGCTTTTTTTGAACAACATGATACTTTAAAAAAAAAAAAACTGAGCCACAATCCCAGCCCAATATGATATTTTATCTTAGAAAAAAATAAACAGAAAATGAAAACATTTTGATACTGACACAGAAGGGAAGAAACAAGACATTTTTGATTATTTGAAGTAGAGATTGACGTTCTAGGTCTTAGGAACTAGCAAAATTAACTCAAACTTGGGAACAAAATTACCCAAGAAGCTAAAGATTCTAAATTTAGCATCTCATGCATTTTGATGCTTAAAAGGCATGAGATATTAAATTCTTTAAAATATTTCAAATAAATTACAGAAAATTAGAAATATACTAAAGAAATAAGAACTTGTAATTCAATCATATTCAAAAATAATCTTATTTGTTTTATGTATTTCTTTCTACTTTTGTATTGCAATATACTTTCTGCATTGAGATAATTTTATCATACATTATTACATTTTTCTATTGTCCCTCCAATTTAATAAACAATGTGGTGCAAAATCTAGACATTCTCCCAAATTCCTGCATTACCAAGAAAGCACAATTCACCTTAAAAGTTATACATCCTTCATATTGTCAATGTTTATTAAGTGCCTTTGGAAACTAGACCCCGTGCTGACCTACAATGGTGAGAAACACATGGTCCCTGCTTCTAGGGAGGTCCCAGCCCATAGTATGAAAGATGAATGTAAAAAAAAAAAAAAAGAAAATCATAAATCACGAAGTATGCAAAGTGCAAAGATAAGATAAATGCAGGTTGATTTAGAAAAAGATAGCAGGAAAGCATATTAGGAAAAAAAGAAAGCTATCACATAAAAATGAAGTCCAAATTGAAACCTGAGGATGGGTATAATAGGTGCTGGTCAGATGAATATGATTCTAAGCAAAGGAACAATTGGTGAAAAGCCAAGAAGGAAGAACAAATGGATTCGAGGAAGTGAAACCAGGTCAGTGTGGGTGGAGCACAGAATGCAAGGTGGGGGGATGTGATAAGAAAGCAAGATAAATAATTAGGGGCCTTCCTGGAGGGCCTTGGTGACCCCTATTAGAAATTTGAAGACAATGGTAGCCTTTGAAGGATTTTTAGCAGGAGGAGCCTAGAATGTGATAAATCTGAGAATATCCATCTCCCAGCACGGAAAGGCAATGGTTTTCAAAGGGGTCCAAGAAGGAAAGGACAATGCTTCAGTGTCTAGGAGGTAGTGAGAGGTCAGAGGAGAAACAGGAAACAGCTTCCCTCCCTTCCTCAGGCACATTCCATTTGAATTTGTTTTGTAGAGTTTCGTATTAAAATTTCTGGGTTACCACTGCTTAAAAAAAGCACAAAATCTTAATGGACAGGATTAATAAAACAAATACACTAAGCATGAAGATGGGTGGGTGTACTGACTGCTCCTCATAACCACTTGAAATCATGGGCCAGCCTTTTTTCCTAAAACCTCTAGGCTCTGAAGCCAAGTCATCAATTTATATCACCACATCTTGGTTTTCTTTTCTTTTGTGGTACTGCGATTGAAAAGGGGCACTCTATCACTGAGCTACATATCCCTAGCTCTTTTTATTTTTTGAGATAATGTCTCACTGAGTTGTCCAAACTGGCTTTGTAATTGCCATCCTCTTGTCTCCTGAGTTGCTGGGATTATAGGTGTGTGCAATAGTGCCCAGCTGAACTTTACCCTTAACTAAATAATTACTTCACTATTTCCATCAAGATGTCTAATTTACCATGGCCAAAACTGAAAGCCTGATTTGTTCCTCCAAGCTTGTTCCCCCCATATCTCCATCCATCCATCTACTTTGCCTAGTATAAAAACCTTGAGTAATCTTTTACCTCTCTCTTTCCTTCTCATTCAATTATCCAATCCATGAGCAAATATTATGAAATGTACATTCAAACATATATTCAGAGACTACTTACTTCTCTCTTTCTCTTAACTCTCTACTCCATCTTCTTCTCTTGCCTGGATGACTGTGATATCCTGCTAACCATTTTCCTTGCTTTTGCCCTTGTTCCCCATAATCTATTCCCCATAGAGCAATCAACATGATCCATAAAAATGTCAGATTTTGTCACTCTTCTTAAAACTCTCAATGGACTCTTACCTCAATAAAAGCCAAAGTCCTTACTATAGTAGGGCCCTATGGCCTGGCTCCAGCAACAGTCTGCCCTCATCTTCCACTATTCTTTACCCACTCTTCTCCAGCAACACTGGCATGCTGCCTTTCTGTGAACAGGACTAGCATGCTCCTGTCAAAATCTGTTCTGTCACCTGGAAATGACTTCCTGTAGGTGTACAAATGGCTTACTCTCTGTGGCAGGCTATTTTGTAAAAATGGTTCAAACAACATTTCTAGTTCCACGCACTCTTCTAGTACTTTGCCAACCTCCCATTGAGGGGTAGAGTCTACCCGTCTCCTTGAACCTGGGTAGGCTGCTGAAAATGCTCACATCAGAGAGTAACAAACTGTTCCCACAAATAGCCAGATAAATATTTTTAGGCTCTGCAGACCACAGTATTGTCCTAACAACTCAACCCTAGCACTGTCGCAAGAAAACAGTCATGATAACACATACGGGAATAAGTATGACTTTTGTAATACAATTATGTTAATAAAAACAGATGGATAGATTTGGACAGGAAGACATGTTTGCCTAAACCCTGACCTAATCAAGTAAAATGCAACAGCAGTGACAAGTAACCAAGTGACTTTTGAAGCAAGCCTAAAAGTGGCAATACAGCTTCTACCTCTCTTGCTGGTCAAACATCTTGGAAGCCCTGAAGTAATATATAAATCTGGCTAACCTGAAGCTTCCATGCTGTCAAAACCAATTGGAGAGACCATAGAGACACAAGTAATATGTTTGTCTAAAAAATTGTAAAAACTAGCCCCAGGAGGTCAAGGTTGACTGCAATGTTTCAGCCCAAGCTATGAGTAAGGCTATATTTGATTTTAATCTTTAGGCTTCAAACCTCTCTAGTGCATGCTGAGAAGAGAACAGGGGCAGCCCTGCCAAAATCTATCCAAATCACATATTTGTAAGCAAAGTAATTATTCTGTTGTTTTAAATCAAGGGCCAATAAACCACAGTGTTTATGTTAAATCCAATCTGCCACCAGTTTTTTTTTTGGTGGGGGTGGGGTGGTGGGGTGGGGTACTGGGGATTGAACTCAGGGGCACTCAACCACTGAGTCACACCCCCAAGCCCTATTCTGTATTTTACTTAGAGACAGGGTTTCACAGAGTCACTCAGCGCCTTGCTAAATTGCTGAGGCTGGCTTTGAACTTGTGATCCTCCTGTCTCAGCCTCCGAAGCTGCTGGGATTATAGGCATGTGCCATTATGCCCGGCTCCTGCCACCAGTTTGGTAAATAAAATTTCACTTCAAACAAGTCACACTCTTCATTTATATATTGTCAATAGATGTTTATCTATTACCCAACAACAGAGCTGAATAACTGTGACGGAATCTGTATGCCCACAAGACCTCAAACATTTACTATCTGATCCCTTATGGAAAAAAACTGCCATGCCTTGTTTTAAGCCAGTAAGTAATACAAGCATGGGTTGTTTTTTGTTTTTTGTTTTTTTTTAAATTTATCAACAGATAATCAAAATGTTCCTTTACTTCCTTGAAGTCTAAATAAACATTGCTTTAGAAAAGTCTTCCTCTACCTTTCTATTAAAAAATGGTGTTTTTCTCATCCTTTAAATGCTATCAGAATGCTACTTCTCTAAAAAGTCCTTTTTTGTATAGACAAGCAATTAAAACCTCGCATCACTATATACTTGGACAATATAGAGATATGCATTATTAGCTCTAATTTTATTTCATCTCTAGGTTGTAAACTACTCAAGGGCTGGTACTTTATTTCAGAAACCTTAAATAGTCAAGTATAACATGCATTGAACAATATATTATTTGGGGCCAAAATAAATGGTGATTGATGAAAACAAAAGGAAAAAAAACTATGACGCTAAACATTATAACAGTGGCTTTACGCTGCTGGGAGCTGTACTTGGCAGAGTTAATTTTACTTCCCCTCCCTTTACTTGTCATTCTAAATTCTAAAGAAGAGCCTCACCTAAATGATTAAGATGTTAATTAGTAAATAAACTTTTTGTAGGTTTATAGAACCCAACATCTGATGCCCTTCAGATAATGTCAGAATGTGTAATGCCCCTCTTTATTCTAGTCCTGTGCATCAACCAATACAAAGTATTAAACTGCTATGAGGTTTACTTGCAGAAAAGTAATATGTTTGTCTAAAAAACTGCAAAAACTAGCCCCAGGAGGTCAAGACTGACTCCAAAGTTTCAGCCCAAGACGTGGGGGAGAGTGGGACATAGACACATGCCCTGAATTACAAAGACTCCATTCAATACACTCTGCCTGCCCACTCTCCTTCCTTTCCCACCCTATAAAAGCTCTTTGTGTACCTGACTTTCCCAAGATGATAGACTCCACCAATT